CCGTGGCTTGTAGGTCCTTTTCATTGTTTCAAAGTGCAAGTCTGGATAACATCTGAGTGTGTGTGTGTTAACCACCCAAATGTGACTTAGGAGGACCACACTGTTATTGGGGGACTCCGTCAAAGTTTGCTTCATGGTGACATCACTCTGGTTTTAGGAGGGGTCTTCTCATATTTTTTGACAGTTTGACCTACAGCATGCAGAACTGACTGCATGTGCTTTGTTTCTATGTTGAAATGGTGTGAAACTCAGGCTTGAACATTAAGATAGATAGTACTATACAACTTCTTAACTTGTTTTAGGCACTTTTTACTGCTGTAGTGCATGGGTTCTCTCTGGCTGTGTACTCTGGCTTCTTCCCACAGATGTAGCTTATGGGGTTAGGTTAACTGGTGATTCAAAACTGCCCTTTGGTGTGAATGCAAATGCTTGTCCTTCCATGTTAGACTGGTGATCTGTCCAGGTTGTACTGCCCTATGGTAGCTGGTATAGGCCCCAAACCTGCTACCCCACAATCCTGATAAGGATAAGTGGAAGAGGATGGATGATTGCAAAGGAATCAGTTGTTAATTGGAGTGACAGGCAGTCGCAGGGTATCACATTGACAGACTCTACCACACTCACACCTATGGGCAATTTAGAATTACCAGTCCAGCAAACCCCACTAACTGGATGTCTTTGGGCGGAAGCTGTAGTTGCCAGATACAACTCGGGTGAGAGGCATTGTACACCCATCATATTTGGAATAGGTTCCAGCCGCAAGGATAAGCAAATAAGGAAGGATTGTTTTTTTATTTTGATTTTGTTTGTTTTTCTACTCTGACCCACCTCACACAGATAAGAATGCATGTGCCATTTTTAAGAAGCTGCAGTATATTAACTCAATTTGCTATTCTAGATAACAACAAAGTGAAAGAATCAATTCCCCTAATCCCAGTAAAATGGTTCCAGTAGAAAAAAGTGAAGAGGTCGATTGCGTTCAAATTTTATACTGGGATGAAGTGTATTAGTTGATATCTGCAACTGAATTGAAAACACCTCACCTTTCCAACTGTCCAAAACAAATAAATGTTGCAATATTTTGGTCTGGTGTGCACAACAATATCATCTTTGGACAAGTGCATTCAGTGTGTGGGACCGGTTTCCTCCTTCAAGTGGCTTGGCTATAAGTGCAAAGGTGAGACATTTAGTGAATAGGTACAGTATATAGTAAAAAGCATTAATAGAGTTCAACAAGTTAAGACTAGCTGAAATGAACACTGCTCCCTTTTTAATCAGTGGGTGGTCACGTCTAATTAAAGAAATGTAGTATTACCTCTTTGGTGCAGGACCTTGTAAAAATGGTATACTTGGGATTGT